GGTGCAATATTGGAGCCTACAGAGTTCAAAGGGTTAACGATTCGTTATAAAAATTAGCAAAGCAGATTTCTTGAGACCCGAAGAGCTTCGTGTTGCAGCACTTGCACAAATGCAGGGATTTATTTTGAAGTTTCTTGCGAAAGCATCTTTATCGTTTTAATAATAGCGACGTCAGTTAGAATTAAGGAGCGCTCTACTTCCTGGCTTTTGGAACTCGAGAAATTTGGTCTTCGCGTCGGAATCCGCAGTGTATTGATATTCGAACGGGAGTAGGGTGAACGACTGTCTCAATGGTGAACGTCCGAGGAATGGATTATAATAGAAATCCATCGTGGGAAAAGGGGACGCGGGATCTTTCGGAAGAAAGGCTGGATCCCGGAGCCGCGCAGCGTTAAATCGGAAACAGTCCGCGGAGGATCCGGCGGAAAGGAGAATCGGGTCGGCATTCGATCGGCAACCGTCCCCGGATGAACAGTTAACAGCGTATTAGCGCGAGGCCGCTTCCGGTGTAATCGGAATTCCATTTATACTTCGTTACGGAGCGTCGGGCCGTGTAAATCGTCGGAACGGACACCGTTAGCGATGCATTGTCGGCGACCGGTCACCGTCCATTGGCCGCGAGTCGCAGGCATTAGGCTAGTCGCCGTGATCTTTTCTGTATAGGAACACTGTTCCGGTGGCGGGCAAGAAGAATTTCAAGATTTTTCGACTTCCTGGTTGAAGACTACCGTGCTTCTCGAAGATCGAGCGTGTTCAACCGCTTGACCTAGAATGTCGTGTCGGACTCGTGACGGAAATTTTAAATCGATTTCGAGGAACCCGAGTATTATTTATTTGTTTTTTTAATGTGAATTGAATGATACTTTTCTGTTATCAATTGTTCCCCTTCGTAGAGTGAACATCGGTAGAATAAGCAATTTGTTCTTTTTCTAATAAATTAGGATAAAGTAGTTGCATCATAGTTAAGAAATAAATCGTAATTAAATCGAATTGCTATGGTTCGCTCAATTAAACGATTATTTGAAAACATTTCTATATTATAAATAATGCTATCTAATGCGACGACATTCAGCTAGATGAATTAATGATAATTCAATCAAATGATTTGATATTATATCTTTGCCAAAATCAAGTAATTGGTTAACTTCAATTTTTATATCGTTTAGTGAAATTATTGAAACTATTAAATATATTAATCATTCGTATTCAAGTGTGTAATTTTGTACTGCATAGATTTTATAATCATGAACAAAAATCGGTGCATAGAAGGTGAAAGTGTGTACAATATACCAACGCACGAGATATTTGAATAAACTAACCTTGTTCCCCAATTTATATTCAATTTCCCTTCGAATCGTTCTTAGACAATGTCCATATCGCATTAGAAACTGTTGAATATTCCTAGTGCAAAGCTTTACAATGCAGAAGGCTAAAGGGATGAAACCCAGTAAAGACATTTACACTGAGTCTCGAGCAGAGACCTACTTAGCTATTCTTCTTGCGTGTACTTGTCCTCGTGAATATACCTTTCTTTATTAGAAGTGAATAACATGTACGACGCAATAGATAGAATAGAAACATCCGCACAATTCAGTTTTCTGAAAATTAATATTTATTTACCTATATTTTAGGTATATTTAAAACGTAAATCTACATTTTAGAATTTAGATTAACAATGTATTCAATAGTTCAATAATTCCTATGCCTATGATTTCCTTAGGCATGATTTAATAACCCCTTTGCCTATGATTTTTTTCTCAACTATGACCGATATACGGCTACTTTGTCATTAATAATTTATTGGAAAAAGAGAAAAATTCTAGGCATACGTTATACCTATATTTCCTTTTAAGTATAACAGTCGATTACAGAGGAATAACATTTATTTTGAATTCGAATGAACCGAGTAATACATAAATTTGTCGAATCATATTGAAAATCTTCTTAGTCTCACTCGTAGTTGTAGGACAAGGGGTTAAGCTTCATCGGCCGAACCAGCGGGTACTATCAAACGGAGGCTCGCGGTACGATAAATCGTGCCGGAAGAAAGAAGACCGCTGAGGAAATCCCGGACAGGATTCGCCGGAAACGACAAAGGAATTACCGGCCAGGCTGACCGTGCAATTTCGTGGAACGGACTGCCTCGTGGAATGGTCCGCTCGGTTAGATCCGTTTCCTGATTACCCACGGGACGGTCTCGGCCCGGTCTTGAGCCGATCGCGAGAGTTGGCCACAGCTAGCCTTACCTAGCTTATCTAGCTATCTAGCTTGCTATCTATCTGGCCGGCAAACAGGCGGGGGTGGAGGAGCGCGTTCCGTCGGTGTCGTTTTACAAAACGATACGCACACCTACTTTTACTGGAATACGTCATAACGCGGTTGCCGGGCTACGTGCCGCCGCCGCGTAGCGATTTATCAGCCGGTATAAATAAACGGCCGGAGCGGCGGTCCGAGCCAATTCATGAATGACTGCGCGCTGCCCCTGCCGCGCGCGCAGATCCTCACGGTTTTCTCCAGCCACCGACTCGCACGGTTCTGATGTTAACGCGTTAAGCGCCACGAAAATCTTAAGCGTTTTCCCATGGAGTTTGTCTTTCGTAGCGAGGAAAAGTAGGAATACTTATGAATCGTTTGGCGTTGCGACGTTTGCGTTACACTGTTATCAACTTAGTTGCGTTGTTAAACATTTTTATTTCACGTCGGTTGCCTTGTATGTTACGATTGTTTTTTAGTCATTCGGAAGCGTCAGTCACCGGTGGCTGACATGGCGCTTAACGTGTTAACACTGGGTTTACGGAACGCGTCGATTTCACGTAGATTCAATTTTATAAACATTATTTGGTAAATGTTTTAATCGGTTTTAATCAACGAATATCAACTTCCCCGGGGACAATAGAATAAACTGTACAATAAATGCTCGTAAACCTAGTGTTAACACTGTTTCTACTGAAGGTATCGAGGCAGCTTTCGAAATGTTAACTCTTTGAATTCGAGGATAATTTTCTCAAGAAATATTCATTATTTTTTTTATGAGATATCAGTATGTTTTACAACATAAAGAAATACCTTGTATAAATTAAGTGACAGAACTAGTTTATTTCGATGTTCTATGTGTCGATACATTATGGAAAATTTGATTGAATTTTCATACGCGTGTCGCTTATTTATGTGTTAATATGCTTTTTTTATTAAAATTGTTTGGAATCGCTGGTAATACCAATGAGACAAAGTTTCGAGTGCAAAGGATTGACTTAGAATTATTTTCTCAGTCTAATTAGTTTTCAAGTTAGTTATAAAGAATATTAATCATTTCATCGGAAATTAATGAGTATTTTTAATGAGAAATATTGTAAGAGACGATTAACGAAGCTTGGTTAAACTGTCGACACTTTGTTTGAAATTTTAGTTCTATAACAGTTCTGTAGATAGTTCGAGTGATTAACTCGAAATAGAAAAATTTATTTTATCTTGTACCTTGGATTTTATTGGGACACCCTACAGTTCCGTGAAACAAGAATGGAGAACCCCTATTATAGGGAATATTCCATTTGCCGCCAGCTGTTTAACGCGAATGAACATTTCTTTTTTGTGTTACAATCGAGCACGAAACATCGCTCGAAACTGAACGTTCAGGAAATTTGATCGAGTAGTGACACTTGATTTATTTGAATAGCTGTCGAGTATCTTTTTCCCCCCTCGAGTACTCGAACGTTTCCGGTTGGAACAATATGAAAACACGATAAGGTTAACCGAATGCGTGGTTCCGTATCGCTGACGAATCACCATGAATCAACATTATCACCGCTGTCAATGGAATCTTTGTATTACCGCTTTCTAGTCTCGTGCGCATAATTACACTGGCCGGGAAAAAAATCAAGTGTATCTTGAATCCTCGCGTGAGGTTAATACAACAACGATAGTATGGAAACTGTTTTTCATGACCTAGGTTGTATAAGAGTAGACTGGCACAACAATGTTTTAGAACACCGATGTGCATTGCTATAAATATTTAACGAAACAGTCTTCGAAATTTCACTGTTGACAGTAGGACTACGTCGCAGTCAAAACGACTGGCTTCAATATTTCCGTTTCGCGATTCTTCATAAAATTGAATATTCGAGATGATCTTGAAAATTTCACTGGAATACTATGATTACCTCAAGACATCGAGAATAATCTACTGTTGCAATTTTTATAGAGATTACATATCAATCGTGTTAAGAACTACTAAGCACAAACTGACTTTTCTAAATTTCTTTATAAAACATAATTCCCTATTTATCAAGATTTCAATTAGCTCGTATTTCAGAGCAGGTCAAATTAGTTTCTTCAATTTCTCAGAGAAGCATTTGTACCTTTCCAGTAATTATAAAAGAAATCAAGATCATTCTGACATATCCGGTAGTTCTACTGTTAATAATCCCCTTAAAACTCTACCAAGTACCATTTTCAAAAAACATTCAAAACATGTCCCCCAAATTCATTAGAACTGGAATAATTAATCCGTGTGCCAGTTGTATAGGTTAAGAGTATTCAGTATAAATCTTACTTCATTTATCGAGCATTTAATACGCAGAGACGGATTCGAAATCCATCGCGGCTACGTTTGCGCGAGGTTCCCGTCGCTTATTTTGGAGCAGCCTGTAGAGGAGAGCGAGCGCGTGAAACAGAACACTTCCGGCCGACGAAATACATTTCGCATACGGCGTCAGCTGCACACGAGCCGACACGTCCCGGTTTTCGGTCGCACGATAGGTAGGTGATGTCAATATCAATGAGAGACGCGCAGCGGTTTTTAGGTTAGGTGTGCGCACGTGCGAGGAGGCCCCGCAACAGCGCGCGCGTTTATTATTCGTTTTTACGCACACGACACGTCAGGGTCGCGGCGAACCGCGGGGCACAGGTGTGTCCTGTTTACACGGGGCCGAACAGAAGAAACGGGAGAGAGACCGGAAGTTACGAACGGGAAAACGGGTAGCAGCCTGGCGGCGGGTACGCACCTGATCCCGAAGCTCTCCTTCCAGAACTCGGCCGCGTCCGCCTTCGTAATGCGGAACTTGTGCCCGGCGAACACCCCGTTCGGGAAGATGGCTTTCAGCTCGGACAGCATGTGACTGAACACGAGGCTGAGCTTCGTCAGGTTCCGGCGATAATGCGATGTCTCGTCGAACATCTTCTCTTTGCCCTCCTTGAACAGCTTGATCGCCTGTTTGCACTTTCTCATCAGGTTGTTGATGAACACGCAGAAATGCTCGTTGCTGTGCAACATCTGCATCCTGTCCTCGTATTTGCTGTAAATCAGTCTCAGCCGCTGATAGGTGTCGGGCAGGATGTCTAGGATGAACGGGGGGGAATTTTTCAGGTTCATTCGCTGGTGTTGACACAGTTTCACCACCTTGTCCATCAGCTTCCAGGTCTTGTCCAACATTCGCTTGTCGGTGGAGAGTTTCGACGCTGTCATCGGGTCGGCGAAACGGCCGTGAAGCTTCTGGAAAATTGAACCTATGTGCACCGCTCTGGTACGACTGCTGTGTCCTCCTGACGACATCTTGACGTGCGCGTACATATCCCCTCGGACACCGGGACTCCCCTGATGGTGGTGGCGGTGGCGGTGACGGTGGTGTGGTGGTGGTGTGGTGCTCACCTTCGATGCGAGTCCCCGCGCACTCTTTACCACACTTACACACCTTCGCAGTAGAACCACTAACAAACAAGCCTCGCTTAGGTTAGCCTGGCCTGCACTCCCGTGATATGATATACCGCATTTCCTTTTAGCGAGACGCGTCCACTGCCTCGACGACCTTCTCACCAAGTCCCGACCACCGGACGTACCATAATGTTACGCGATACCGCATCCTAGTCCAGCTACACACACCGTACTGACAACAGCGGACAGCCACAACGAATCGACACTGACACACGGACCAAGCGTGCCCGTGCCTCGTTAATTTATGCTTCCGCTCATGACCGCATGACGCTTGATGGCGCTGCTGTCGCGCGGCAGATTTAAACGCCGAGAATCGCCGCGGAGGAGGATTTATTCTGTCTTTGATACCGCTTCAGATATATTTAGGGCTGCGTTGCCTATTTGGCAAGCATTTCTATTTACATGGGTTAATAATGGATGCTCGTTCAACGCTGGATACTTAACCTTTCACTAGATTATTTAAATATTTTCTATTAATGTATATATATAATACTAATTACTGTTAAAATATTTTATAGCAGTATGTTTGTTCAAGTGATTTATCTGAGTTGATCAAGTGTAATGTCATTATAGTGTCGTGCTATTATATCGAATGAAGGAAGAATACATTGTTGCAACAAGATGAACGTGTATTTCCTTGTACGCTTTTATAATACAACAGTTTCAAACAATATACATACAGGACTATTTATAACGTAGTGAATTAGCTTAAGAATATAAAAGAGATGGCATACAAATTAGATTAAATGATACACATCATAAATTAATGAGTCGTGTAGGTCCAACTTGTGGAAACCTATGAGCGTAAAAAAATGTATGCGTAATCGCGCCTGATTCGATATCTGTAAAGCGAACACCTTGACTATAAGATTTTTTTGAAATACCACGTTATCTTGCATTCGAGAGACGATAAAACATAGCGATAGTTTCGAGTTCTGTGGGCGTCCTGATGCTGTGCCTTCGTGATCCTTCTTTTGAACTTTCACCCTTTGAAAGCAATTATCTGTTAGCACTCGTATCCGTCGCCCTGCCTTTCTTTCGAGTACCCTATCACGAGTCTTCTGTAGCAAGCTTAATTGGAAAGGTAAACGATTCTATCGCAACGAAATTGTTTCTCGTACTACTTCTTTGTTCTGTAATTCGGACATCGTTATCCGCGTTTTGTACTACTATTGTTAAGTTTCTTTTGCCAGTACTGCTCCTACCTGCACTTGCAATTCAAACATAGGCTACCTGCCTTCTAACTGAACCTGAGCTTCAATTACGTAAACGTGTTGTCACCGATTTTCTAAGTAGTAACTTAATCGTAGCAAGATAAAGCTTGTCATCAAGAACCAACTTGCAGGGATCGACGCCAGAACGCAATATCTCTCATCTGGAACAGTGTAAAAATATTTTTTGTTATCTTCACTTTTAAATTTAACATGGAAGCGTGTACAGGCGGATCCACGACGGGTAATTTATGGGGAAGAGATGGTGAACAATTACTTTATTTATTACACAATCATTTGAATCTTCCGCATTGGACCTGTTGAATGGTGCTCGACAAATGGTACATCCATCATTTCATTCATTCGACATATAAACGTATACGCAGCATGCAGATACAAAAGATACTGAATATCTGCAGAAAGATACGAAATGTAATAGCAGAGTAAAAGGAGTAGTAAGAACAACATTGTATGCTCTGGTTGGATCAAATCTGTAGCCACAGGTGTAATTCTTTTAACATTCATCAAATTACCTGTCATTTGTTCAGACTTCTTAACCGCAGACCATCCTAAACTTCTTTCAACCGCCATCTTCCATTTCTTGTACCTAGCGTCCCTCTCTATAAAAAACAAGTATTTCCTTACTCTGACAGATATATAAATATGTATCTGTAACTGAAAATATAAAGTTGACAGTGTCGTCACCTTCTGGTGTTGTAGTTGGCAGAAATGTATCAGTCGGCACACTCTCCACTTCTTCCCCTTCAAATTCCCACGCTCCTATGCCCTCCGCGTGTCCTGCAGCCATAGCTGCTCCTAACGCTGTGATGTCCGGCATAGTCGACCTAACTGTTCGCATACCCAAAGGTAACATACCGTCCTATTTCTCTGTGAAACTCATCGGATCAGTTATACTTACATACTGGCGTGCCACAAAGATCTGCTTGCAGCTGCATAAGAAGGTTATTCGTTGACATTTTTCCATCTGTGTACAACTTGGTCAGCGGAAAACCACAGTCTTTGTACATGGCTTCTAAAATATCCCTCGTTTGGAAACAGACAGCTTCCAACGACGCTCTTATTATGTGCTGTTTCGTGGTGAACGCGGTAAGACCGCATATTATCCTGTGCCACAAACGTTCCCACATGAAGAATTTAAAATGGCCCCGTGGACTGGACATGCCACTAAATAATATTTACCCTCTCGCATCTTTTCTCCAATATGGAGCGTATAATCCTGTAAACGCTGGTACAAAGTATACGTCCCCGGTACTAAAAACGCTTTCAGCTAAATGTTCACTTTCGTGGACATCCTTTATAAGCTTCATATTATCGCGAAGCCATTTAATGGCAGTCCCCGCTACTGCTACCGATCCCTCCAGCGCGTACACCGCCGGGCTTTTAGGACCAAATTGATATGCTACCGTCGTGACTAAACCGTGTGAAGAATACACCCTCTGAAAGCATAATTTCAAACGATTAAAAATATTTTAAAACACGCAGATAAAAATTGTAATATTCTTCTCAAAAAATACCTACCGTTGTTCCTGTATTACATAACAAAAAACAGCCACTTCTATACGTGTTCTTGGCTTGGCCCCTCTTTAGACATTTCTGCCCGACTAACGCTGCTTGTTGATTGCCTAAAATCTGATTAAAGAAAAAGACAATGTATTCTCTGCAAATAGAAATTGCACTCAACACTAAAACCACCAGATGAGTGAAAACGACTTACTTCAGATTTTATCTGTTATAATTATTTGAAAAAAATACAAATATCTCTCTAAGAAATTATTAAATAAATTAATTTGCTAATCGTTTACATAAAAAATACAAAGTCAGTTAATTTCACTGCTTGGCGGTTATAGTATTAAAGATGTTATCGTGTTCACGAGTTTTAATCGAAATGAATCTGAATTTTATCGACGGGATCTCGTGTAACAAACTTTAGAATATATAATGCAACATACACCCGATATGGGGATACCCTTCAGCGGATCGATCGCAATATTGCCGTAGATTTCGGCGCTGCTTCTGATCTCCGGCAGCATTTGCATGGGAACGTCGAAGTATCTGCATAACGTGGGGTCCCATGACAAGGTTTCTATGTTCATTAGCATGGTCCTCGAGGCGTTCGTTACATCGGTGATGTACAACCCGCCGTCTCTACCGCCGGTTAAGTTCTGCAACCATTATATTAATAAACTCGCCGGGGATCGCGACAATGTATCCATTCCATTAAAAGTTTCAATAAACCAAATACAATCTAAACGTGCATTAACATCTATAAAATTTTATCGTCATTTTTATCAGCAATAAATGCATCAGAAAATACACGCGATACAAAAGAAGCAATTGAATCAAGATTCAATTAAATTTTTATCTACACTCCCAACCAAAAATATTTGGACACTCAGTATTATGGATCATTCAAATTGTTGTAACTTCATTTGAAAAAATCGTACAGCACACTTCAAGGGCTCATTGGAAAGGAGAATCTTCAATCTATAAGACAGTATTGGACACAATCAAGAATAAAATTTTTCAGCTTTTTCGCGGACGCTTCAATTGGAAACACTTTTTTGGAGAACAGTACCTTCACTTCTTCGTTTGCCACATGGTGTATAATATATTTTCATGAAAAGGCACCCGGTAGTTTTACAGTAGAAGCTTCAGGCTTCAAAATGAACCCAGGTGGCTTGTTATAGGATTTTTTTTCAAGTTACAATTGGATAATCCATAACTCCTCATCATGTGTCCAAATGCTTTTGCCTGACTATAATCGTATTCAATGTAATAAAGCAATTAACAGGAAGGGTACTAAATCTTTTTATTATTTTACTTTCTCCGAAGAAACCTTTGAGCAGACTTCGGACGTACCCAAACGATCCAGGTGTCCATGGTGCCGACTTTGCACCGCTTGTCCCATATGGCTTTTCTGACCGCCGTCACATTTTCCTTCAGCCAACGAATCTTCAGTGCAGAGAAGTACGGGCTGACCGGCAAACCGCACAGAGGTTTTATGTGGTTCTTACTTTGATCCGGGAATTTCGCTATTATCTGATCGGCGATCGAGACGGTCCTTATGTCGGACCACACTGCAATGACAAACAATAATTGATCAATAGACAAGCCAATTACACGTTATCAATATTTACATTTCCCCTCATTACAGATGATTAGTATGTAAGATCTGGGGCATAGAAAATAAGTCGAAGTTCGATTGAACAGGTGGGTAGCCTGATAATACAGATAAGAGAGTGAATGTAATCGAGCACACGTGGCAATTAGAGAGATAATAAAAAGGCGTGTATGAATGAATGCGATAGCATGGGGGATTAAGTATGGTATCTAGACTTTTCAAGCCAAGTACCATTTTGCCTAATATATATTTTAACCTTCTGCACTCCAGAAGTTTCTCATTAGAAATACTCGAGATTTTTTAATGAAATACCAACGACATTCTTTCGAATTGACTTAACGAGAAATCGTACATAAATTAAAGAAAGAGGCTGTTTTATTTTAATATTTCACTTGTCGATGCATTGTACAAAGTTTAATGTGAAATGTCAAACTCTATAATTTTGCTGTGTCAAATCAATTGGCCACTGAGAGGCGCCTACGGAGTGCAAAGGGTTAATATATACATATTTAACCCTGTGCACTCTGCAACTGATTAAACATAGCAAAATTCTACAGTTTGATGTTTGACATTCAACGAGCGCAATACATCGATACGTAGAATATTGAAAGGAAATAGTTTGAATTCAGATTACGTGATATCTCGTTAAGACAATTTGGAAAAATGTTCGTCGATATCTCATTAGAGAATATTGAGTATTTCCAACGAAAACTGCAGTGCAAAGGGATATATTTTTTATTGTATTTTCGTACTCATTCATTTACGTCGCCACCTAATATTTTACACTATCGATACGAATCGTGGACCCACCTATGGCGTTATATAACGGATCGCCGGTGGTCGCGTCCCACGCGACAGTGGTCTCTCTCTGGTTCGCGATACCGATCGTCACGATCTCCGCCACGCTCAGCCCGAGCTTGTCCAATTTTTTCACGACGTCCTTGATGCACGCCTTCACCGCGAACAGGATCTCCCTCGGGTCCTGCTCCACCCATCCTTCCCGCGGGTTGATCTCCTCTATGTCGATCTGGTGCGAGGCTACCTCCGTCACGTGTTGCGCGTTGAACACCTGCCCAACGAAATCACATTTAAATACCTCGGTTACCCGTGGCGCGAACGATATGCGTATCTACTTAACGAGGTGTCTCGGGAATGCGCAGGGACCAGGGAAAATACGAAACGCTTGCGAGGCGACGCGAACGTTAGAAGAAATAATCTTCGGAACTCGGTGCAATACGTGATCTCGAAAATATTTCGAATACTACAACTGGAACGATAATCTATGGGATTGATCCCTTCGAGTGTCTTTAAAAACTCGGAAGAAACGGTTTAGAAACTGAATGATTTTCTATTTTTATACGAAAGCATTGTGAGTACCGCGATTGTTTCGATTTTCCATTTGTAAGCAGGTAATAGAAATGAAAATGAATGATTTGAAGGGAAACGAAGAAATAAAATGCGATTCGCACTTTTGCACAGTGTAGCGGAGAAGCGCCGCTCGGACGGTTAAAGAGCAATCAACGAAACGATGCGATTTCTTTAGATAACGATCAAGCGAATCCTTGGAATTCGTTTTTCAAGCCCGTCGTTGAAGATGCTGCGCCGTAGCGTGGCAAGGTAAGTTGCCCGAAACAAGTCGTAAACGGTGACGAGCTCTTCGATAATGGGATCAAAGATTGGCCATTTTTATTCAAGCAGGATCATTGGTGGATGGCTTTTTTCTCTCTTCGGCATACGCATTTGCATGCGAAAGTGCTTGCAACAGTGACTCACCACAAAGCGTACGGTCCGCGTGCCAACATCAATTACTCCGATAAGAGCGCCCGGTTTCTTCGACGATCCTGGCATCGCGTCTGCAAGATAAACGCTGCGTTACAACATTGTACCGTGACGTCCACGTCCGCCGAGTTTCAACGTTCCCCGGGGACGGAGCGAGTCGAACCGATCCCAAGGATAATACGAGTGGCTCGGAATAATAGTGGACTACTACTTCTGAGTCGAGGAAAGAGAGCTTCTAGGAGATGTTCGAGATTAGTTCAATACTAGCATTAACGACGTCATTAATAACATTAATTATCATTGATTATTCAGTCTTTGCTAGTAATAGTTACTAGTATTTATCGTATTAATTATCATTCTTTAATACTTTACTAGTAATAATTACTAGTACTAATAGTATTAATTATGATTCATTTAATACCTTACTAGTAATAATTACCAGTACTAATATTATTAATTATCATTGATTACTAATTCTTTACTAGTAATAAGTACTAGTACTAATAGTATTAATTATCATTGATTATTCACCCATTGCTAGTAATAGTTACTAGTATTAATCGTATAATCATTCATTACTAATCCTCTACTAGTAATAATAACTAGTACTAATACTATTAATTATCATCGATAACTAACCCTTTACTAGTAATAAGTACTAGCACAAATAGTACTAATTATCATTGATTATTAACCCTTTACGACTGTCATTTCAACAAGATGAAATTCTCATGTTTCTCAGACAAAGTCGCAAACAGATGATTCAATTACTGAAACAGCAAGAGATCAGCTCGTAGTTTCTGTTTGTTCCATTACTTAAGCGACTGATATACAGTTCAGCTCAATAGTAACCCAAGTATTAAGAAATCGAAGTCAAAAACACAGTTATCCTATTTGGAACGACAAAATGTCCCAGACTCGACGACAAAAATGAACAATTTCGTTCTCCGCGAAGTACAACGCAGCCGCGAGCAGCTTCATCTCACGCGGATCTCGCAGCTGGAGCGAGTTCCACTCCGTTTCCTACGGAATCGCGGAAAAACTGGTGCTCGGATCACGCGGCACTAGTCTCACTATTCTTTATCGGGTTTTATTACCATCTTCGGTGACCCGCGCGTGGGTTGCAGCGATAATGGCAAGATTATACCCGCCTGTCGTGGGAATCCCTTATTTTAACAGTCAATTTCGCTAATCGCTCTAACCGCGCAAAGTGAAGCAATTTTTCATAAGAAATGGTACTTTTAACCCTTCACAGACAAATGTCGACATTTCGACGAGGTGAAATATTCATATCTGGAACACCAAATAGCAAAAACAAGATTTAATCACCCAAACAGCAAGAAATCAGCACGTTATTTCCCTTTTTGCATATTTCAAAGAATCTTCGTCCTCAAAGGCTTAAAATGTCCAACTTCTCGTGTTTATTAAAACTACAATACTTTCTAAATTATATTGATTCTTTCGTTTCCGAAGTCTACAGTCATTTAACTCTCGTCGAAGTTCAAACAGGTATCAACGATCGTCCGGAGGAGCGTGACTCATTAACGAGAAATCCGACGGCGTTTCTTCCTGCATTTCCAAGAAGAAAAATAATCTTATATCATCGTAGGTTCGTAATGCTCAACGATAAAACAGCGAATCTGCATAAACGCGTTCGGTCCAAGGACGAAAACCGCGAACGCTGACGATCGGAAACGTTCCTGACGTTTCGCTGACGTCTCGGACGCGTCCGAGGCCGATCGTCCGCGGAGTCGTTCAACCCTATTTCCCGACAGTTCGAATAGCATTTACCATAAGGACATTCATTCTTCTCAACCCCTTGCCTTACAATAACGCGTGAGACTCGTGGTGAAGGTTCCAAACAGAACTTAATACATTGATAATAGCAAAGTTGTTTTGATCCGTGGGTAATGAACAACATTCTTGTTAAACTTTAGAAATCTTCATCAACGTTAACAATTAGCCAGTGAAATCTCACCAACCTGGCGCGAACGATATCGTGCAATCAGCACACCACAAAGCGCTCGCTTTTTCCTCGCAGCGAGGATAGTCCGTATCTTCGCGTGGCCAGGGGAATTCCCGTCGCAGAGATCCGACGCGAAACTGATGGAAGATCAAGCGAAAGTTTCTCCAATCCACTGAAAACCGCTGAAGATCCTACAGTCTCGAGAAACTTGAAAAACTCGCTGAAGATCTAGAGTGTCAGCGGCAAGCTGGAAACGGAGAGTCTGAAGTCTGAATGAAATTCGATCTCATTCATGCCCGAACGCTTCATTGTCAGAGACACTCGGAAGTCACCGGCGAAAAGTTCCCGCGGCGCGATTCAGCGAACCCGAGGGTGACGTCACTGGAGAACGGCCGACCCGTTTCCGCGGCACATATCCGAAGTCGTTGACCGGAAGAAGCGCGTTGCCAGCGAGACCGCGCCGGGCAGGACGGAAACGAGAATGACCGGACGGGCCGTCTGGCTGAGTTTTTTCATCGGGACACGGTTAAGCGTGCGTTAGATACGGGAGAGACGCGATTCGTCGCCGCCGGAGGCTCATTATCCGCGGCCCTCCCCTTCTTGACCCGCTTCGCGAAATTCGAGATAAAGGAACGCGTCACTGCGTCTTCGCGGGACGCGAGAGAATCATTCGACGTCCGGAATAAATATTATCGGGACGGGTGCATTCGCGAGCGAGTGAACAGGCGAACGTGCGCGTTTAACGCGTTGAGCGCCATGTCGGCCACTGGTGACTTGGTTAGGTCGATAATTGCGAGACAAATCGAAACCGGTCGTTTTGACTGGTAGTTCTAGTGTTAACGCGTTAAACGCCACACCAGTCATTGATGACTGAATTACTTGGAAACAATGGTAACATACAAGACAACCGATGTGAAATAAAGATGTTTAATAAGGCAACGAAGTTGATGATAGTGTAACGCAAACGTTGCAACGCCGAACGGTTCATAAGTATTCCTAGTTTTCTTTGCTACGAAAGACAAACTCTATGAAACGCTTGAGATTTTCGTGCCGCTTAACGTGTTAACCTTTCGACGGACGGACACTGTCTTGGACTTCTCGCGTTTCTTTTAATAGAGCACTGAATTATGCAGCGGAGTCGTAAATACTGAGAGAAACATTGTCAGTCTCTCGTTAGTTGAATGGTTAATGTAGTTGGCAGTTTTTGAATTTAGATGTGCTCGAGCCAGGCGAGATTCGACAGCAGAGTGTTAACACGTTGAATGCCAACCAAATCGAATTACTACAGTTCACTCAATTAAACCGTGATTATTTGAAAAAATTCCTATACTATAAATAGTGCTAACTAATGTGGTGACTTCAGCTAGATGAACCTGCAATAATAAAATGCGATCAAATGATTTATTTTCATATTTTTCCCATTTCAAGTATTTCGTACCATGAAATCGTGCGGCATTCAACGCGTTAACAGTGTATAGTTAGAGAGCATGGAAGTGAGTTGATTGATTACTCGATTTCATTCGCCACTTTATGTTCTTATGAATAGGAGTTGTTTATTAATATGCCACCGTTTTATCAATGTGAATGAATGTTCGAGACCCTCGGAAAATCACACGATTAAGATATCGCTTTACGCTAAGATCCTCTTGTACGATATCCAATTGGCAAGAAACTCTCGTATATCCGAACGAAGTTTCAATGGAGACTCGGTTCCGTTGAGCTCAGCTTCGTTAAACTTTGCACTCGAAAGTTTTTTTCGCTAGGTTTTCCTCTGAAACAGAGCTACAAGCCGACGGTCGATAGTACGATTTACATAAACGATGATCGTGCGATCTCTCGACTCGCAACCGACCGGTTACACAACGCCCGTAATATTTACAATGTCCGTAAATTCGGCGTTGAGCAACCGTCGGACAGATAAAGCTGGAATCCTCCGTCGGTCCCGCGCGCACGCGAGACAGCGTTCGCGAACCGTGAGGTAATATTGTCGTCCGAAGCGAGGCGAGAAAAAAATGCGAACCGACGGGACGTCAGGCGAGCAGAACGAAAATATGTTGAGAAAAATTGGCTCGTTCGCGAGGCGGAGAGATACGGGCGAAAATATTAATAGTTCGTTAGCGATGCTCGGATCTTCCCGGGTTTATCTGTGCGGCGGGAACAGGTTGCGTAAGGCCGGTCGCGTTCGATCTTCGCTTCGATGTCGCGTAATTCACCGTTCACGCTGATAGCGAGCAAACGGCGACCCTTATTTTTACGAAAGAATCTCCGTTAATACCCGAATTTATCGGAACCGTCCTTATCGGGACAGAAGCAGATAATGTTACATAATCCTGCCTAATCCTCGCTAGCGACAATAATTCCCAGTCGTTTCTCCAATGATATTAACCTTTTGCGGACGAAGATTCTTTGAAATGTACAAAACCTTCTCTAAATTATATATCAATTGCGTAATTGATGGAACAAAAGGAAACTACGTGCTGATTTACTGTTCGAGTAATTAGATCATTCTTTCGTGACTTGGTCTTCGAAATATGAGAATTTCGTCTCGCTGAAGTGTCGATATTTGTTCGCAAAGGGTTAATAATGATAGTATTGATTACTGGTATTAACAGTTGTATGGTTAACATTTAATTAATCGAGAAACATTCCTTTCTCTCTCTAAATCAGACCATTATCAGTCTAAACCACTCGATGATCCTCATTAGAACCTCACTAGAACTACCGAGCATTTAATTCAATGCGTGACAACAGACATTTTAAAATGACATAGAATATTTTCACTTTCTTTAAACATTCATCATAGTACTCAAGTGAAACTATTTTCGAAACCATTTTGAATATTCAGTGCCTCCAAGGCACCGATAATTGCGAACAAGGACACTGAAACCAGTCATTTCGACTGTCGAAACTGGCAGACTTGTGACGAGAATATTAAACTGACTTTCAGAAATCTACGTATGATTTATTCTCTGAAGTATACATTAAACATTACTTTCCTATAATCCTTAACCCTTGCAGTAGACGCAGAGCAACAAAATTTGTTCTCTTTCCAACGAATAATCGCTAAAAACGTGTCACCCGAAGTTGTATAGTTTCTCGGACGATTTA